ACGACATCATTTATTCCTAGTCTCAGTAGTATTCTGTCCCAACTTTACTGTGGGGCTTCAGTGAGTTTTCACTGTCTCCTTTTGAGCAGAATTGCTTAACTCAGCAAAGAACCAAGAATGGACAGAAAGTTTGAGATGCATTCATAACTCTCTTGTATGATAAGACAGATTTTGGCATTGACATTACACTCATAGTGTCAGCAGCTAAGTAATTCCATTGGCATAGATAAAGAGAAGGAAGGAGGTTAAATAACCTCGGGATCAGGGTTTTGCAATTGGCTCACATCCAAGACCAAGATGAACGAAGGAGATTTGGCTGCACAGCTGAATGGGCTTTCAAAAAGTAGAGGCAGTGGGTAGGGATTATAACGAGCCTTAGTTCTCCCTGACTTTATTTGAAATTCTGTCAAGTTCAGTAAAGGCAAATATCACTCCAGCCAGTTGTGTGTTTAATTGTGGTGCACAAGAGGAGTTTGATAGGTTGATCCTTGTTATCCTAAACATTCAGGTGCAGAGCTTAAAAGTTGTTGTGATGCTTTCAGAGATTGTAGTGGCTTTAAAATTCTGAAACAATATCTCTGTCATTTTGTATCCCTAGAGACATGCCAGAAAGAGATCATGGAGCTCTCTTAGGTGGGGATTAATATCTGTCCATGTCTGTAGGATATTGTGGACGGTAATAAAAGTCTGTTTTGGAACAGTTGAATCCCATTCCCAATTCTGAAGGAACAAAAAAATGTAAATTCTATTATTCTAGAATCAACCAAATTCAAAAAAGTTTAGCCAACTTTCTACGACTTCTTATGCTGGCAAATGCTGTGTGATGGCTCTTTTTTTTCTAGAAAAAAAAGGACAAATACTGTTCTCCAAAATGTAGGTTTTTCAGAGTGTTGGTTCTGCTGCCAAAAAAAAAAAAAAAAGATTTATTTCTAATCACCCTGAAGGTAGCATGAGAATCATTGACTCCAGCAAGATATTCTTGGTTAGGGAAAACCATTGCTGGAATCAACGTACTGCACACATGACATTATCCACATTTTACAATTATCTTTCTTCCCTGAGTTTTCTACAGTGTAGGTTAGAGAACAATTCATGTGACAAATGAAAGATGCTGGACTGGCCTCCTCTCCTCTGAAATGCTTCAAGTCATTCTTACTTTTTTTTTCTCCTATGTTTGATGCTTATTTTTTTTCTTGCTGAGGGGGGGATGAAGAGCTGCACAACGACTTTAGGATGAAAATGAAATGCCTGACAGTAAAAGATAATGGGTCTTCTAAGTCACTCAAGTGTCTGCTGAAGTATTTCATATGTCGAACCCAAATTTCTAGAATTCTGCAGCCTGATCCTTTTGTTGATCACTTTGGACTTCTTTTGGTGATACTAACAAGGATTTAAAGATGCTAAGTACACACTCGTCTGGTTACCTGAATCTTCTGAGAATCCCCAAACACAAAATTGTGTAGGAAACATGCACTATTATCCTCTGTAGTATTTTCCAGGCACATTTTCCTGTAGAAGGCTCACAAAAGGGTTTTGCCTTTGGTTTTGCTTATGCTAGATAAAACTCTTATTAAGAAAACTAAGGACCACAGCATTATGGAATATATAACTATTCCTATGCCTTTGTAAGATTAAAGAAAAAAAATTATGACTTTTTTGTACTAATAAATTACCTCTTCCAGAACGTAATATAAGAATCACCAAGCAAACAATGCAAGGAATTCACAGGTGTATTTTCAGATAACACAAAATAATTGGACTATGTTGAGACTGCTGGGCTTGATAAATAATAATAATAATAATTCTGCTTTACAATAATTGCACAGTGCACACTTGCTCTTGCTGAGAATTTTACCCAGTCAGTTTGCCTTGTATACTGGTTGCTTGGAAACACTGGAGATTAGACAACATGAAAGGACTTCAAATATCTTCTCAGATAACAAAAAACACACAGGGCTAACAGTAGCTGGCAAAAACATGTTACACCTGGAAGGGAAATGTCTGAGGAAGAATAACAAAACAGGCCTTTTTTGATACAACCCTTGTAACTGTGCGTAACTGCTGGTCTAATCTTCGGGACTGGGACCCAACTGACTGTGGAGCCTAGTAGGTATTCTTTATGTTTTAACATTTTCTCAGTTGTTATTCTTTGGATTTCAACTTTTTCTTCTCTTCTTCCTCCTAAAACTCAAGCAGCAACCTCATACTTCAAGTCATTAATTAGACTTTAGGATTTCTGTGCATAATCCTTTGATATGCAATTAGTTTAAGTATAAAAAAACATGCTGAGTCCCCTTCACAGGAATTGCCAAAGAATCTGGGCTGTGCAAGGACAAGCTCATGCTGAATTTGCTTGGGAGTGTGTCCAGAGAAGGGCAACAAAGCTGGTGAGGGGTCTGGAGGGCAGGAATTATGAGGAGCCATTGAGTGAGCAGGAATTGTTCAGTCTGCAGAAGAGGAGGCTCAGGGGAGACCTTACAGCTCTCTGTAACTATATGAAGGGAGGTCCTGGTGAGGTGGGGTCAACCTCTTCTCCCATGTAACTAGCAATAGGACTAGAGGGAATGGCCTCAAGTTGCACCAAGGGAGATTCAGGTTGGATACTAGGAAATATTTCTTCTCTGAAACAGTGGTCAGGTGCTGGAATGGGCTGCCCTGGGAAGTGGCTGAGTCACTGTCACTGGAGGTGCTGAAGAAACATTTAGATGCTCTACTGAGGGATATGGTTTAGTGGGCAACATTGGTGATTGGTGGACAGTTGGCCTGGATGATCTTAGAGGCCTTTTCCAGCCTTAATGATTCTATGACCTTCTATGATCTACCATTTGGCATTTTCATAAGCTTGTAATAGTTATTATTAGGTTTCGCACCGATGGTTGGGCAGTTTGAAGGGAACAAAAGGTTCTGTGGATAAATATATATAAGATGCTAAGAATTTAAATTCTCTCAGGGTTAGAGAGACAGCGATAAGTGGAGAAATTGGCAGTATTACACAGAGGAATTAAAAGAAGTTTAATCTGTCAGTGCAGTCATACTAGATGGTTCAGTTTGGGTTAAACTACATTGGTCCAGGGAAGTCAATGAAGATGTGAATTTGGGAATCTGTTTTCTCTAGGTGTTTACAAACATGGAGTTGTGCTTGTTCTTATTAGCAGGGGCAAGCCATGATGTTATGTCAGAGTATTGTTCAGCTTGCACTTTTTTGGGATGTGAGTAGAGTAGGAAGGAGAGTAAATTCAGAGCCTGTTGAAGGACTTGCAAAGATAAATATGATGAACAAAATTTCAGATCTGTGGAGACTTTTGAGTTGAATGCAACACAGATGCCATGCAGAATGCAGAGTCTAATGCACCTCTCTGTCAGTCAGGAGGCTCTTATCAAATTGAACACATTCTACTCTCTACATGTCCTTTTTTTAAAAATGTCTGATAAGCTGAGATCCTTTTGGCGAGGAGGCATGTTAGAAGAATCCCTTCGTTTCAAGTTATTGTTTTAATTTACTCTCTTAATGTTGTCTTGGCATTGCTATGTAGAGTAACCCAAATTACTTCATGTATAACCTGAAGGTAGAGATATTTTGTTTTTAAAAATCATGGTAATAATTGGCTGGTAAATTATTTTGAGAGATCATCTGCTCCCTGAAAAGATGTCTACTAAAAATTTAAGCAATCTTATTTCATAACTTCTGTGTCTATCAGAAATTCCCAGAGAAGGCAGCTGTGGTATAATTGAAATTCAGGCTTTTGCAGTTGTTAAGTCTTTGGAATTTATGTTTATTGGTTAAAATTCAGAATTCAACTCCCAGATGGTTTCAAAGCTAAAAAAAAATACATCAGACAGTTTCAGAGCAATTCTGCTGAAAGATGCAGCAGAGCTGTGAAACCAAATCCCATCAATCCTGTTACACCTTTTAGGTTCTGCTCTAGGGCATGCATCTTTGTTAATATCTTAATCCTATAGAACAATTTCTGAAATTAGTACACTAATGTAAGGAATACTGTAAAATATTTGTCTATGGGCTTCAAGTTTATAGGCCTCAGTGTGTTCTGCCCTTCAAATCAATCTGCTGTATGTCATGCTAACTCTACATTGTACTTCTGACTGCCTCTGGAGTTGTGTGACTAGCAGTATGGCACAGCGCACAGCACAGGAGCTTTTAAAACCAATCGCCAAACCTACCATCTTTTCAGTATCTGTAGGCTGGATTTGAATGATTTCAATGTCCGTAACATTTTGTGGGGAAAATCTCTGCCACAATTTCAAGTATTTGACTTTATTCCAGGAGAAGTGGAAATAAGTGGACATAATTTAGAAGCTCCTGATTGCTTCTCTCCTAATTTAGCACCTTGGAGACAAAAAGCCTTCCTGCAAATGATCATTTATTAATCAAAAGATCAGCTTTGTCCTCCTTTCTAGCAGCAACACTTTATTTCTGCAAGCCATGCCAGACATCAGTGAAGTAATTTTGCACAGCAGTGATGCAACAGACTGACTTCTCTCTTTGCCTTAACGCTTTTGCCCTGATGAGAGCTTGTAGCCACATCAGAAGGAGACCTGGGGAGGTGTGAGAGAGTAAAGGAAAAGCAGTTAATTCCTCATGTCCCATGAGTACACAAAGTCATCCTTGATAGATCTTTTATTTTTAGGAATTAGATTGTTGAGAAAGCAGAATAATTTGACTCTTGGAGCTGAACCATTACAAGTTCTAATTTTCAGGTGCTTTATCAAATAAAGAACTCACATGCAGGCATTAGTTCTAGGAAAAGGAAGCTTGTGGAATTAAAGCTGCTTTGAAAACCTATTTTTGTACTTTCTTTCTGCCTTCTATCTGCTCTTTTGGAATAAGCAGCAGGAAAATATAAAGATAAAAGAAAGACTATTATTCAATGATGGAAGCACCTGAACAGCAGGTGATTTAACTGTCAGGCAAGACTGCAATAAAATCAAATCATGCCCACAGAATCCCTTTTTTTAAAAAAAATATTTTTATTTTTAAACAGGAAATCAGAATGATTCTATTCCAGAAGTCATTGTGATGAAATCAAAGAAAAACAACAAAGATGATGACACTGGGAAAGCAGCTTGTCTGGCAAGGAATTTTTATAAGAAGAACATCAGTTTGGAGATGCCCTCTACAGAAGTTGTATATGAACCAAAAGCACCCATTGTGACATCAAATGGGGTGTATAATACTATTAAGGTGGTCAAAGTGACAAAACAATCGGAGGTGACGTGCACAGCCAGGTTAAGCAACGGCAATTTTACAGCCAACTCGACATCACCAGGTACAGTTCTGTGGAACCATCACAGCTCATTTCTGGAGGCAGTGACATTCGCTGGCCCCCTGCATGCCCAGCAGGAGTGGGAAGGAAGTCTAAGTACTGAAGCAGGTAGAGCTAGAAGTTATTTAAAAACAACTTAAGCAAGTGGTCTTAGTTTTTAGGAGCCTGAGGTTCCTTGAAAAAGAAAAAAATAGAACACCACACTGACTCTTTTTTGAATTCATATTTACTTATGACTGAGTAATTCAACATACAACATAAAGCTTTAACCTTTAAAGTAGCCTTTCTAAAAGTAAAAAGTGTTTTTGTTGTTTTCTTAAACCACTTTTTTTTTGTATTTATATTTTCTTCCATTGTGAATTTCATTCAAAAAGGGGATAACAAACCAACTCAAGATTTCCTCTTTCCTGCAATGACACTGAGGACTGTTCTCAAATTTATATTTGTGATTTGTCTGCTGAACCTCAGGCTTTCCCACAAACCTGTTTTCTGTGGAAAAGTCAGATGGGCACAGTCTTTAATACTCCTTATCATTCAGATTTTGTTTATAGTGTCTTTCTTTTTTATGCTACAGAATTGAAAATTGAAGAAACGAAGTCAGAAAATACTTGCAACACCACAGACACCTCTGCAGGTTAGTTACCTAAAGAAATTGTGGAATTCTGTTACTGTGTTGGGGATAAAAGATTTTTTTTATCTCAAGGGGCAGAGGGATCAGAATATTATGTACTTATCAAACACAACCTTCTTCTTTCAGAGGGAGCATACAAGTTTTCTTACAGAAAGTAAGCAACAAGAGGCAAAATCCCATCAAGAGAATTGTCTTCCTCCCTTGTCATTATGATGTTTCTCTGCCATCTTTACTGCCATTTCTATTAACAGCGTTTTCCCCCCACTTTTATACCCATATCACAGCATCTCACTCTAGACCATGACCTCTCTCTCCCCTCTTTTTTCTCTCACTGAGCAGATATCAATGTGGAGAAAGTGAACATGTTGTCCATGGCTGTGTTGGGTTTGAGAGTTCTGCTGGCAAAAAGTATTGCCTTCAATACACTCATGAGTATCAAGCTGCTGCTTTTCTAAGGTAAGGAAACACATAGCGTGGTCTGTGGAAACAGAGTTATGTGTCTGAAATGGCCACTTGGCTTTGTGTACTTCTTGAACCACACAGGGAGTGATGACTGTTCATCTACTTCTATTCCATTAAAATATATATATTGCCTCTTTCTGCAAACAAGCAAAGAATCAAAACCAGACTTTTTCTGTGTTCCATGCTCAGTTTTTGTTGCTGGTTCCCAGATGTGCTTTGCTTTGCCAGAGCACCTCAGGTTTTATCACTAATGCCTAAGAAATATTTCATTGACTGACTCAAATGGCAGAACCTGAGTCTTGGAGAACAGTCAAGGTGAGTAAGGAGTCAGAAGGATGGCTCCCAAAACAAAAATGTGTGGGGATGGCAGGAAAGAAAGGAGAAGGAAGAATTTTAAAATTAATGTTCCCAGAGGGATAAAAAGTAGTCCAGACTGAGCCTGGTGAGTCTTCCTGTCTTGATCTAATAACAGTCAAACAGTGGAGGGGTATATGCTTTAAATGTATTACATTAAATATAACCTAAAACACACTTTGTTCTTCTAGGCAATGGAGAAACAAGGCAGCAGAAGTGTGAGGAACAGAAGGAGAGAGCATTTACCAGCAGTATGAATTCCAGGGGTGGAAAACCTTCCTAGACAGTTTAAGTAACTGTTAGAGTTGTAACTGATTTTGCTATTTCTTGTTCTCTGTGAACTGAGGAGAGTACATTTTTCTTCATTCCTTTGCTAAGTAGGAATTGTTTTTCCCTTTCTTTTATCCTTTGCATAGAAGCACCCCACCAGCACTGATAGTTTTAAAAATCAGAGCCTCACCACAGGTACATCACCATTTGAAAATGCATTTACAGGAATGTTGCATTACTCCATAGAGCTGAGATTTTACTGCTGAGAGGATTCTGGAGAGGCTATTAATTAATTAATATTAAAAGTCTTACTGCTTTTTAGATAACAATTTAAATTCAATAACAATCAATAACTTCAATATGCTTCAATAACAATCTTTCTAGTGTAGATGAAGAAATCTGTGTTGGACCTGAAGTGATTCACTGCAACCAGATAATGTTCAACCACCAGTAACAGTTTTATTTGCATTTCTTTGTTTAACTTGTATCACTTCTGCAAAGCATACAACATCTCTGTTTTAAGTTGCTGTAATCATTGCTCAAATAAAGTTTTAATATGCTAAAATGCTGTAGTTTGTGCTGTGTTTATTCTTCTGAATTTGGAAGGGAGACTGGTAAAATCTAGTTGTTCCAATGACCAGCGACATCAGATGTACAGCTTTGATATCCTGGGTTTCCTGTTGATGAATTTGTGTTTCGTAGGGTTGTACTGGGAAGCGAAGGCTTCCTTTGGCACATTAAAAAGCTTCAGGAGGGCCAGGCCAAGGCGATTTAAATATTATTTTTTTACTTTTCAGATGACTTTATAAAGAATCTGCTGTGATATTCTGGATCACATCAAAAAGGTACAAGGAGAAATCACTTAGGAGACAAGTTGTAATGAGCATGGGCAAGAAAAACAGAGAGATGAGCAGAGAGATGAGAATGCACTACTTACTTCCATTCACTGTTACCAGGATGGGGCCAGCAGGAAACAACGTGTGCTGGTTTGATGGAGAGATATAACTTCTATAGCAACTTGCTAAAAAGACACTCAGCACACAGACTCCCCAACTCATCCTTCCCTCAGAAGCAGCAGGCAGGATGCTGTGGTTAACACAACTAACTTGCAACGTACAAGGTGAATTCCCCCTTGTTTTGAAAAACAAGTTAACCACATCCTGGAGAGAAAATTACAGCTACCAATTGAGTTATTGCTGCCTTCAAGACAGACTCTAAAAACACTGCTTAATAACTTGGTCAGGTCAGTCTTTCACACCCTGCAGACACCTAGAGGAAAACCTTCGTCTTATCATACAGCCATAGAATCAATTGCGACAGAATTATTTTCTTCAGAGTGCCTGGAATGATGCCATATTTTGGTTCTAGGAGAAAAACAACATTGATAACATGCTGATGTTTGCAGTTGCTGCTAAGCAGTGCTGTACAGAGCCAAAGCCATTTGCTGGGGGCTAGCTGGGCATCGGCTGGGGGGTGGTGAGCAATAGCTTGTATCACTTGCAAAATACATTCATAGAGGTATACATATTTGTCAAAATTATTATTCTTTATCTTAGAAAATAGTTTTATCTCAACCCATGAATTCTACTTCTTTCTTTTTTCTTCTTTTTTTTTTTCTTTCTGATTCTCTCCCCTGTCCCACTGTGGGGGGAGGGGAGTGAGTGAACAAACAACTGTGTGGTGCTCAGTCACCTGCCGGCTTAAGCCACAACATCAGAGAATGGCTTAGGTTGCAGGAGACCCTAAAGATCACCTAGTTCCACCCCTCTGCCGTGGGCAGGGTTGCCAACCACAAGATCAGGCTGCACAGGATCCCATCTTTGAATACTTCCAGAGATGGGGCATCCACAACTTCTCTGGGCAACCTGTTCCAGTGCCTCACCACCCTCTGAGTAAAGAATTTATTCCTAACATCTAACCTAAATCTCCCCTCTTTTAGTTTGAATCCATTCTCCTTCGTCCTATCACTATCAGACAGTGTAAGAAGTCAGGTCCCCTTCTGTTTGTAAGCTCCTGTCAAGTACTGGAAGGCCATCATGAGATCTTCCAGGAGCCTTCTCTTCTACAAGCTGAACAAGCTCCTTTAACCCTTGTTCACTACAGATATTCTCCAGCCCTTTGATCATCTTTGTTGCCCTACAGCTTTGCATCCTTCCTGTATTTGAGGCCCCAGCCTTGGGCACTTATGCAAAATATGAGTGAAATTTACATAACCCAACAGAACAGTCTCATCATAATATAAATTATGGGAAGTTGTTCTTTCATATTTTATCCTGATTTTCTGATGACATCCACCACATTTTCTCATTAGACTCCAGATCACTCCTTTTCCCAGCTTCTCAGGCAAGACTCTCTGTGAAATCTCTGTGGATCTCTGTGAAAATCAAGAAATAGCATTTTCTTCAGTAGTCCTTGGTTGTGACTGGAAACCACAGAATGGAAAACTTGTGATGTTGCACATGGGAAGACTGGGATCTATAAATGTTTGACTACTGAGTGGCATGGCACAAATTTGTACAGAAATATATCAGTCAAATAAAGACTAAAGAAGGGTGTAATAAACCCTTGGAAGATGAGAAGTTTCTGTACCCAGTGAGGAATTTTGGCATCTATGCAGCCAGTGTGAGAGAAGAGATGTTAATGGGAAAGGCAACACCTTACTGTACCACCTGATATGGGTGGAAGAAGCAAGCATGTGTGCAGACGCACAAATCCTTTCCAGCTCTTACATTTCTAGATAAACTGCACTGGATGTTTCAATAAAACACCCAATTATTTCCACAGTTATGAGTTCTTTGGATCTAGAAATTTTAGTTTGAGTTAAGAAAGAACCTGTAGCAGCTCTGGTCCTATTTTTCATCCTTGTGAACTCGTAATTATCTCCTACAATCAGTGGCTTTTCTGTTGAGAGTTTAAAAACTATAATATTGAGCCAATGCAGGACATGCGAAGAAAATTGTCCATGCTTGGAACTTTGACCAGCAGAAAAAAATCTGCTGGTGCTGGTCAGCGACTGGCTGAACATGAGCCAACAGTGTGTTCAGGTGGCCAAGAAGACCAGTGACATCTTCTTGTGTATCAGAAATACTGTGGTTGGCAGGACAAGAGGAGATCCTTCGAACATGATGCTGGTGAGACTGCACCTGGAGCACTATGTTCAGTTTTGAGCACTTCACTATAACAGTGATATTGTGTTGCTCAGGTCTGTGTAAAGAATGACAACAAAGCTGGTATAGGGACTACAAAACTAGTGTAGTGGGACTGAGGGAATTGGGATTGCTTAATCTGGAGAAAAGGAGGCTGAAGGGAAAGCTCATTACTTTACAGTTACCTAAAAAGAGGTTGAACAGAGAGAGTGTTGGTCTCTTTTCATAGATAGCAAGTGATAGGACATGAGGAAACGGTCTCAAGTTGCAACAGGGGAGGTTCAGATGAGATATCAGAAAGAACTTCTTCAATGAAAGGGTGCCAAAGCACTGGAATGGGCTGTCCAGGCAGTTGTCATTTGTGGAGTCATTTGAGAAACATGTGGATGTGGGGCACTAAGGGATGTGGTTTAGTATAAGACTTGGTAGGTCAGGCTGGTGGTTGGACTTGATGAATTTGTAGGCACTTTTTCCATCTAAATGATTCTATAATTCTATGTAGCTTTGGAAAAAAAATAGAGATTATCTGCAAGATAAAAAGGACCTCATTGTGACCCATAGCTTCCTCGTGGGAGGAGGGCATGGAAGGTCAGGAGCTGATCTTCTTTCTCTGGTGACCAACAACAGAACCTGAGAGAATGGCATGAAACTGTGACAGAGGAGGGTCAGACTAGATATGAGGAAAAGGCTGTTCACCAAGAGTGGCTGGGCATTGGAACAGCTTCTCAGGATGTGGCTGTGGCATTCAGCTTGCCTGAGTTTAAGTATCCGGACAGTGCTCTCAATCTGAGTTTTGGGTGGTTCTGTGTGGAGTCAGGAGCTGGCCTCAATGGTCCTTATGCATCTCTTCCAGTTCAGGTTATTTTGATTCTATGATTCTAAAATCTATTTGCAGGCAGCTTTTGTACAGCCCAGTAGTAAGACTGTGTAGCGAAAAGCTTCCTGAATAAAGTTGGAAGTAGTTGTTCTTGAATGAAGTTTTTCTTCATTGGAAAAGGTTTGGTTAAAAAATCATCACAAATTTTCACCCAAGCAATGAAAATCAACAAGGCAAATGGTTTGGTAGTGAAATTCAACACAATTGAATCAGAATGAGTGCTCAAATTTTTCCCTTTTTTCTCTCCCATGTGTTAGCAGGGGTTATTTTTGTTCCCTTTTCTGTCAGTAATTACATTGTTTTAAGGAGCTTCTTGCTTGTCTCCTGCAAAACAAATTGCAACATTTTTCTCTAGCAAAAGGTAAGAAAAATCCTGATGCTTGTGTCTTATTTTTCTTACCCACAGATCAGAGACACTTACATGAAAAGCTCAAACAATCTTCTTGCGATTCAAGGCAGGCCATGCATGAGGGCACATTTTCATATTCATAACCAGTGCTCAATTTATGCTCTTCTCCTGCTTGAATTCCACAAAACAGTGAGATCTTTAGAAAAGTATCCTGGCATTTGAGGTATTCTCAAGAATAAAGAAAATGTAACAGATGAACCACAGCACCCCTGGGAGGCTCTTCCCTCTCAGCACTGCAGCTGGTGCTGCAAGATGGCCTTGGGTGTACAGAGCGACATGAAACACAGATGGTATCCATGTCTCGTTTGGCATTTGGAAAGAGGTCTCACTTCAAGTGTTCCTCCTTCTCTGTACCGTGTTGATCCTAGAAGCTCATCAACAAGGAGTAAAAATGAGAGAAGATCTTAAAATGCCATTGATATTTGGTATAAAGGGGCAATTAAACTCCTTTGTAGCTTTTAAATTTGTCACATAAACTTGTCTTGCAAGAGCCACAAATACAGTTTAGAACCTATTTAAACAATTGCAAGAGCTTTTATATCTTTATGGAGACCAACATCAGAAAAAGAGCAAAAACTTTTGAAAGTATTTGGCTCAATGAGTTCAGTGATTCAGATCTTAAAAGGATTCCAACAATTAAGTCAGGATCGTGTCCTGGTTTCAGCTCCATTCTGAGCTGATTTTTCCTTCATAGTGTCTGGTGTGATGCTAAGTTTCGTCTTTAGGAGAAAAGCAATGTTGATGACACACCACTGTTTTAGCTGAGCAGTAAAACAGGATAAAAACCACAATTGCTTTTCGAACAAAATGTAAAGCCCTCTTCAACACACAACTATGTGCCTGAGCAAGACTCACTATTTCCCCTACAGTAAACCTTGATTTTTGCTTTTTTCATGTCATGTTCCAGGGCTAGACTATTTTCTCATCAACAAGTCTTTAAATTGTGTATGTGATTTCATCCTGACGTGGGATTTCTTGCCAAAGGAGTGTAATGTAATTATCCTCCCCAATTATCCTCAACTACTACAAATCTCAGCAGGCTTTAAGAGCTATTCTTGTATTAATCAACGTGCAAGGGTTAAATTTGGAATATCAAAGAATCACAGAATCATAGAATGGCTTCAGTTAGAATG